CCCTGGGGTTTGACATATCATCAATCTTAAAACTTCCTAGAATATCAGAAAGATCTCATAATAGGAGCCATACAAGTGAACCAGATAATGTCTCAGCCAGCAAGAGGCAGAATGCAAATAAAAAGGGAAACTTTTGTGAGCTCTAACTAGAAGCCAGTGCCACTGGTCTACCTCAGTGCACCAGTGCACTGACTCATCTGGAGGACTTGTTAAAGCACATATCGGCAGGCTCCACCCCAGAGTTTTTTATTCAGCAGGTCTACTGGGAGGCTGAGAATTGGAATTTTTACTTAGTTCTCCAGTGATAATGATGTGGCCTTAGGGACTACCCTTTGAGAGCTACAGGTTATGGGAATGTAGAAAAATGGAAGAATTTGTTTTCCTTCCCTATTGCTTAGAACCTGGTGAGGATGAGGAGATGCTTCTAAAGCTATAGAAAGCTGGTGCAGGGCCTAGGAAGTTTGGCCGCATCTCCTAAGGAGAAGATACACATGGGCAGTTTACCACTGAACAGCAGAATTCTCTGGATCAAGAAGGGGGATAAGCATGAGACTTGTATGAGTCCTTTCCACGGCTCAGGCCAGAACAACAGTCTGTTTGGTTAACAGCTGCCTAACCCTTGAATATAGCATTACCACATTACCGCAAAGAAAATGCCTTTAATAAAACCAGCCCTTACACATTTGAGGCTTTGCCTTAAAGTGCTTGATCCTATTCTCAGCAAAAAGGAAGCACAAGCGCTTTCTGTCATAGGCTTTCTTCCCCATCCAGCTCAAATGAAGGTATTTTTGTCTACCACATTTGCCAATAAAACAACCAGAGAGGAAAAGCAAACCAGCCTTGGTGAGATTCAAGCTTCCAGTGCTCTGGAATCTGCAGGGATTATGCAATATGAGTGTAGTTTAGTTGTTATTAAGCCACTTATCTGCCTACAATCCTTGTTTGGTTGGAGGGTTTTGGAAGGCAAGCCCGTGCACCTAGGAAAAAAGAGTATATAGCTGTGTTTTAAGCACTAATCTTTATTCTTACTTTCTAATTCAAAATGCCCTGGCAACACTCCTCCTTCTGTCAAGTGCTAACTTCTGTCCCATTCCTGGATATGATAGCACTTACTGCTGATACAGACTGGAACAACAGTTTGGTCTGATGACTATTCCTGGTTTCATTAGCAAATTTGTATTTTTGTGTTATGCTTTCTCTTAGTTAAAATGAAAGTTATTATAATGTGCAAGTTGCCACTATTTTAGAAAATTAATTGCAGTTTTCTGTTACAATATTGTGCCTTCTTCCAATTAGAAAATGAGGCCCAGAGGGAGCACAGGAAGTTCGGTGTTTTGAGAATTCAGCAAAATTCAGCTCAGCAGTCTCAAAAGTCTAACTTAAAAAAAAAGCAAAAATGAACCAAATGCCCTTACTGGCTCAAGTATCAGGGAGTCAGATAGACAGAAAATAAGTCTCTGAGTCATGGCGAGTAGCAGTAAATCCAACCTGGAAGGGTCTCAAAAGGACAGAGGGAAGGGGAAGATAAAATACATGCCCAGTCCTAGTTTCCTTCATCTGCTAATCATTTCAATTAGAGGACCATAGTGGCCTCAGGAAGCAAAGAAGGAAACTATCCAAAGTACCCTAGAGTCTAGAAACAAGGACATAAATGAGAATGAGCCAACCCAGGGAAGAAAAGAACTCAGCATATATAGATATTTAAGGGAGAAACCGGGAAAGCAGCAACACCAGAGAAGATACGGGAGGTGAAACACAGACACAGCTAGAAAGTGAAGAGTTTAGTAGGAAGTAGAACAAAAAAGCTCCTGCGCCTACAAAAAAATTAACAAAGGATCAGAGCACTGGGCAGAAAGCCACAATAATGAGTAAACCTGACATTAAGACTTTGTCTAGCTGCTAAGGCCAAGGACATAGACCTAAAATGAAGGCCAGTAGTCACGTACAACAGTGCTCAAGTGTTCATAGGAATCATCTGAAAAGCTTGTTTTTAAAAATATAAATACCAGTATCTCTCCCAGGCCCATTCCCATTGTGACCTTAGGTCTGAAGTAGCTTCTGTATTTTAACAAAGACCCCACAAGAGTTCCAATGCAGATTGTTCAGGGGCCACAGTTTGAGAAGTACTGGTCCCAAGGTCCTATGGACTGCTTGAAATAAATACACCAAAGCTAACAGCAAGTTTTCATATGGGATTTCATGAAGGATTATCTGTCTCTTGAGGGAGTGATGTCACTTAGTGGAAATTAAAACAAGATCTATCAGTGCTGCTGGGGAATGTTCTCTTGGGAACATCTGTTGGCCCAATAAGTTCATTTTTCTGATTAGTATAGTCCTACAGTGAATACCAAGAGAAGCAAGAAGAGAAGCTCTAAGACACAACCACTATTCACAAAGGCTTTCTTCAGAGAGTAAATGTGACATTATATATGGAGGTAAGTACCTCTGCTTACCTGGGTAAAGTAAGGTATGGTCTACAGACCCATTAAATTCTTTCAATGTGTCTTGAAAATTCCAGTCTTGCCTTAAACAGAGGCACAATATAGACTACTGAGAAGATCTCAAAATCTTGGTATCTTCCTTTCTGCAAGTGACTATTGTGCTTTTGGATATAAAGGGTAACTAAGACCTGGAAAACCAGATCTCTTTTTTTATAGAATGGAAGACACTCGAATGTCTCACTGTCATCGAGTTGGAGCTGATTCACACCTGACCTTCTTGTTGAGATGCCTCAATCTTGCCTCTTGAATGAGAGGCAATACCATTTCCAAACAGGAACATTCTAGTTATTTCAGCTCTTTTGGAGGTAGCAGATGCTACCTACTGAGAATCAAAAAAGCCTCATTGTGAGGCCTGAGAAAACTCGCAGTTGGCGAGTGGCTTTGAACCCCTTAGCAGGACAGCAATGGATAACTGGACTACCACATCTTCTCAGCACACTTCTCCAACTGTACTCCTTGTGTTGTCAGTCCTGTGTGTGACAACAGATCCCACCATCTTGGCTTCCACTCAGAAGCTGTTTGCCCATAGCCAGATGTTTCTGGTTACTTTTGAAATAGAGGAACCTTGCTGGTTTGAAAGACTGGCAGGCCATGCCCAGGAGTTGGGCAGAAGCCCTGGCTTCCGGAAGAAGTTAGAAATGTTCATTAGTGTTGCCGAAATCAGAGCCTGTCTCTTGATTATGAACAATTATTCCACAATTAGGCAGAGAAGGTTGGAAGAACAGCTGCTGGGGACCAAGGGTTTCTAGCTAGTGAAAACCTAACACCAGGTACTTGTACCATCCAAATTTGCTTAAGAAAAGCACAAAGAGTAATATTTAAACTAAAACCCAACTCTCATACTCAGAGAGGAAAAAAAAGCAGGCTTGAAAAATTTCCCACTGGTTCTTCTCCCAATTACCCAGAGTCAAGTAAGTATTCCCAGTCATACAAAATTCAAGAATCAGATCTTTCCTGTCACTATAGTGTCAAGAGCAGAAAATGTCTGCTTTTGTCCTTAAGGCTTACTGAGACACGATGCCACCCATCATTGGTTCTGCTAATTATCACCTATAAAGGATAAAGAGGATGCTTTTCTTGTTTTCATTCTTCTAGTTTGTTCTAAATGTCAGGCTCCCTATAAAGTTCTTAGATGTCATAAAGATAAAACCTCTTTGTATCTGCTTTCAATGAGTTCACAGTCCAGCAGAGGAGACTGACCCAGAAACAAATAACTGTAGGAAGGTGTGATGAAAGTTAGCATGTAACAGGTCACTAACAGTGGTAGCACAAGGAGGGAGCAATCAATTCTGTTAAGGAAGGTTTGTTTCACAGAAAGGGAAGAGCTTGACAGGCAGTTGGTGACGGGGGAGAGGAGGGCATTCCAGGTAAATGCATTTGTATGAAATAGCTTTGTCAAATTCAGGGAGCTGGAAGAGTGGTTCAGTTTGCTGGAATTGAGGGTACCAGTAGGAGACAGAGGGGAGAAGAGGCAAGAGAGCAAGAGAGACAAGAGTAGACGTCACCAGTCCACCCACCTTCTATCACTTAGCATATAATGGATCTGATCTTTAGATTTTTCTTTAAAGTAATTCATTCCACTCATCCCTATGCATAACAGTAAATGTCTACCATGGGGAATCTACACCTAAATGGTTTACATGAAATTTAACTGGGTGTATTAAACACATGTGATATAGCTAAAAAAATTACAAAGGAACATATAAACAAGTGCATAAAACTAAAAATGGCACAGATTACACAAAGTACTAAGGGAATTCACAAGTTCTTAAGCTTGAGACAGAACTTAAATACCATCTAATTAGGGACTGTTCATATCTTCAACTCTCCTTGACAAAACTGTGGTTAAATGAGCCCCCCTGGAATGCAGAAAGCTCAGTCAGACGCACTAGGCTTAGACCAGAAGGCTGACAACAATATGAAGCCGAGAGGTCTCTTATGGCAATATGAGAAAGGTATGCATTAGTTGACAGGATTCTAAACAGGACCTTTTCTCTGCAGGTGAACTAGAAAGGACAATTAAGAACACTGCAGCTGCCCAAAGGCATCATTCGCCATCATGATTACAACCCTCAAGTAGAACATTTCATGGTATACTATCTATTACTCTTTATAGCTTGCTGCCTTCAAAAAACAACAAAGAAAAGGAGGTGAGCAGTTAAATAATCACAACTATTCCATGGCACGCTTCATGTGGCTCTAGAATAAAGGTTTCTGTTTGAAGTAATACGTGTCCACTTCATTATTTATCCAAATATAATTTCAGGCCTCTGGGGAAGGCAGCTTATAATCCAAAATACAAGTAAATTCTTGCTACTTAACAGTCCAGAGCTCTCTAAAATGAAGCCTGCTGGTCACAGATGGGCTGGGTGAGAGCCCTTCCTTCCTCCTATGACTGTGATACCTCTGGGCCTGGATCAGAGGTCAAATTGATGTACTGATGCCCTTCAGTTCTCTACCATGCCTAGGAAAGTCACCACATAGCAGAGGCACACTTACCCTCATGGAGGTTTCGCCACCATGGGCCTGTTGGAGCCTGAAGACCTGGGCCACCATGTGTTCTGTAGAGGGGTGCAACAGGATCCTTCTGGAGGCCAAGCCCACCATGACGTATCGGCCCATGGGGGACAAGCTCACTGAAATGGCATTGGGACCTGAGAGCCAACACAACAGAGACATATTTCCCCAGAGTTCTTGTCATATCAAGGAAACAACTTTCATTTCTAAGCATTTTTCTCTTTTCCTCCAATCTTCGTATTTTTCTGGTCAGCCTAAGGTTACTGCAAAGGATTTTGGTAAGGAGTATATTGAGAGTATACAAAGCACCAAGGACAGAGTTTGGCACAATGAAAGGTATCTAATAAATACCACTGTTATCATATAATCACATTGTTTTTAAAAAAAGGTTATCATAATGTAAACGGTATTTTAAAATCCACTTTTTTCATTTAAAAATTATGAACATCTTTTATCATGAATTGTTCTTGTATAGTAACATTTTAAGGGCCAAATGGTATTCTGTACTACTGCTGTTCTATTATTTATTTAAGCATTTCTTTTTAATCTAACATCTCCCCCTATTATAAATAACACTAATGCTATGCCAGGAAGCTCTGGTGGCCTAGTGGTAAGAATCTGCGTTGCAATCCCAAAGGCATGTGGTTTGAATCCACCAGCTACTCCACAGGAGAAAGATGGGCACTCTTCTCCCATGTGATTTACTGCTTCCTGAAAACTCATTGGAGGGTCAGCTGTGGGTCGGTTTCAACCTGATGGTTTATGACAACAATGTTAAATCAGTTTGAGGACTAAGGTGCACCTATTCAGGCGAGGATATTTTCAATCACTTGCTATGCATCTGAGAACTGGACAACGAATAAGGATGACAGAAAAAGAATCAATGCCTTTGAGTTGTGGTGCTGGTGAAAAACACCATAAGACTATCCCACAAACTGCTAAAAAAACCAAACAGATATGTGCTGGAAAAAGTGTAGCCAGGGTGCTCTTGGAAGGCAAGGATGGTGAAACTTCTTTTCACACATTTTGGGCATGTTGTTAGGAAGGTTATCCTTGGAGAGGGATATCATGCTTGGAAAGGTGCAGGGGTGGCGAAAGAGGAAGACCCTCGAGATGGATTGACACCGTGGAGACTGTAGCAATGAGCTTAAGTGTGGTGGAGATGGTGATGATGGCATAGGACTGGACAGGGTTTCAGACCTGTTGTTCCCAGGGTTTCTATGAATCATACTTGACTCAACAGCACCTAACAACAACAACAATGTGAACATTCTCATATGTAAGTCTATATTATTGTCTTAGAAGTGAAATTGCTAGATCAAAGAGCACATATCTCAAGCTGTTTTGAAGTATATGCTTGTGCTCACTTCCTGAAGCTCAGACTAAAGTTCCTCCCTTATTTCTGGCCATGATACCAGGCGTAGTCAGATGATGCAATTGTGTTAGAAGAGCTCTTATTCTGAGATTCTTCTCCAATGCTACCAACCAGGACTCATGCAGAGTAATCTTCTCTGGTCTGTTTGTCCCCCTCTAGTCAGAGGTGGGAGATGATTAAGGATCCCACGTAAGTTATGCTTCCACTAAGAAGTTATGTTTCACCTAAGAATACAAATACCAAGGCAGCGGCATTCCTCTGTTACTATGTTGGGGTTCCTATCCCTTACCAAATCGCTTAGTATAGAGCATTTCGCCCAGGTTATGGGGAGCCAGGGAGTACACTGCTAGGATGCCTTCATCAGGAAAGCCCCTCTGGCTGCTAGGGATGAAAGCTGCCAGAAGCTGGCCATCTGCAGAAATGTCACAGCTGGCATCATTGTAGATCTTGCAGTTCTGCACCAGCACATTCACAGAGGCTGTATAGGACAAAGAAAGAAAAAAGAATAAGTAAGTTTGAAACTGATATAATGAGAAATTCTGGGGTCTCCATAAAGGCCTGAATCTTCTTCTAACGGAATGCTAATGGCTGTCTTATAAATCAAACTAAAACAACATGGAACAAGAAGAAATACAAGAGGAAGGAAAGGTATGTCTCAGGACCACTTCAGTAGGGAACTACAGGGCAGTCAACACAAACAAGTACTTATGGAGTCTTAGCTCACACTCAGAAGCATTTGAAAGATTAGATGAGAAAAAGTTAATAAAAATTATTCCTGGAGAGTCACTCCACAGCTATTATTACTGGACAGAAAAAAATTGAAATGCAGGGGAGCTCTGGTGGCCTAGTGGCAAGAAGCTGCACTGCAATCCCAGAGATATGTGGTTCAAATCCACCAGATGCCCTGCCGGAAAAGGAAGGGCAATCTCCTCCTGTACCTGTCAGATCTGATTTGACGGTACAGACACACATAAAATAATAAACTGTAAAAAAAAAAAATGGAAATGCAAACACACTAATTCCAAGAAAAATGTGATACAGGCAGAGATTCCTTGATGTGGAAATTCTACTCTATACCTGATATGTGAACTTGGAAGGAAAAAAAAAGTCATCAATTTATGTCTTACTTGCACATTTAAGAGAACTAGAAAATATAGATTTCAACTGACTTGAGTGGCTCCTTGCTAACCCTAATTCTTACTGATAAACAGAGCCTAGATCTGGCTGGATGGCTGGGGTCCATTTCCTTTCTCACCATGCTCTATGCCTTATCCATTTTGTAAGCCAATATTCATGGGCAGCCTCACTTTGCACTTACCAGTTACTAGAAATAAAGCACAGGGTCAGTCAGGTGGCAGGCTCAGTACAAGGAGAAGGGAGACTCAGGGATAGGGGTGTAAGAGGGAGGAAACACTTCATATGACAGGACTGTTGATCTAGGTGTTAGCCAGCACAGGGGCTGTGTTGCTTTTCACGTGACCCCCTCTCTTGTGCCAAATGTGTGGTTCTCCTGCCAGAAGGAAGCAATTCACCCTTAATGTGAGCCTGGAATAGGAGGGCCTGTATCGTGGGCACAAGCACAACACAACACATTCAAAGAGACCAAGCCCTGGGCTTTATACACACATGAAGAGACTGTCTGTTTACTCTCTATTATCTGAAGGAGGTGACTTAGTCGGACACAGTCAGCATTATGATTTTAAAATAAATAAAAAGAAGGGGGAAGGGAGGAGAGACCTGACAAGCTCAATTGTCCTCCCAGACTCCAAGTGATCTACCCTAGTAAGCCCAAAGATAAAACTGGAGAAATAAAATTCCCCTCCCCTCCAACAAAATTACCTTGAGAACACAAACCCAAGAACTGGTTTTGGGGAGGCTAGTGGGGATGTGGAGTCACAGAGATGGATAAAACTCTGTATTCACTTCTCATCTTCCTGGGTGTTGCTAATGAAGCCACAGGAATGACAGAGTAGATCAAAAAAGGCATCAGAATACACTGATGCTATTGTGCCAACTCTGCAGGCTGACACCTACAGTACCATTACACATAGAACCAAGGAGGGACCACAAGGATGGTTCTGTTTGCTAACTAATAAAATAATGACATCCAAATGCTCATTGCTGTCACCATTAGGCCTCTGTACTGCTCAACTTCCAACCCACCATCTGCTCTAGTCTGTGTGACTGGATTTATCTAGTCAGCCCTGGACCGTCTGCTCCACACTAAGGGTCCCCAGTCCTTTGCTAAAAAAAACCAAAAAAATTAACCCCACTTCAAAACTTTCCTTCTCATTCCCTAGATTAACAAACTATTTTTGTATGAGAATGATTATAATTCAATGTGGATGAAGGAAAGTGTGAACACAAAATATACAAATTTTGTATGCAAGCCAATATAATTTTAAAAAAAAAAATAACTTATGGGAATAAAAACCAAACTGTTTCTGTGGAGGACTGAGAACAACAGGGATTGGCTGCATGAAATTTCAGGAGTGAGCTTGTCTTGATTTCTACCCTCAAAGATGGCACAACCTTCAGATAAAAAGAAACTGGCAATTTGTACTGTAACTACTAATGGCAAGGGAAAAAAAATTAAAGAAATAATAAATTTTAAGTAAGACACAAAAATAAGTAGGGAAGGAAATGGGACTTTGCAGACTTTAAGACAGTTTTACTCAGTCACTATTTTATCTGTATTTAATGTTTTAAAAATGAACTGAGTAGTTTATCAAAGCAGGCTTTTCTACTTTGCTGTTACACAGATCTGGTTAAAATGTATTTTACCATGTAAGTCACTACCATGATCCTTAAAACTCACCATCAACATTAAAAAGTATTTAATTGCTTACTATCATATTAATTTCAAAGGAGGCTGGAATGAAAGATGGCAAGAGAACTAGGAATGTTTTCCTTCTTCTGTATCATTCAGTGCTTTAAAAAACCCAAACAAACAATGCACATCTGTATTTATTACAGCATTATTCACAGTAAAGAAATGGAAACAGCCCAACTGCTGCTCAACAAATGAATGAATAGAAATACAGAGAATGGATGAGTCTGGAGGACAACATACTGAGTGAACTATTTCAGTCAGGGCAAATACTGTATAAGGCCACTGTTATAAGAGTCATACAATGTGGGTGAAAACAGGGAAAGAATGGCTAGAACATGAAGACTGCACTGGAACAGATGAAGTAAAGGACTGACTGAAAGGAACGTATGATTAGGCATTATATCTATGACAATTAACAGTCTGAACAAGAAGTGCATTACAAAGTGAACTGGGAGAAGGGAGGGAGAAAAAAATGCATTAATAAATCAATGAAAATTAAACTTCTCTGTAAACTCTCATTCAGATGACAATAAAAAAAAAACAACAGATTAAACCAAAACAAGCTGGTGAGTTCAAACTGCTGACTTATTGAGTGAAAACTAGGTGCTTATCCCCTGTACCCTAGAACTCATTGTTTAGGTCTAGTCTCTAGGAAATGGGATATTATATAGACAATAAGCATTTCATTAGCTTCAAAGTCAAACCACTGTGTCTGTGCGTGTGTTATATTACAATGATTCTAAGTCAACACCACCTCTTCAATTCTACTCCACCTTCCAATTTTGAGAGGTTTTGATTACTTTTGATTATTGTAGTGAGCTCAGCCATTGACAATGAAAAGGAAATGCTGGATACTGTTAACAGTGCTTCTCTAGAAGCATACTCTGTTTTGAAAATGCTGTGCCCTAGAGGCTCACTTCTCCCCCATGAAATGGGATGTGGCGGGCACCAGTAATCTAATAGGTACAGTTGAGGGAGCACAATGCTGTGAACTTCTAATTTCACAGTTCCAATGAGTAACATATGTTTATAGTCTTGTATCTCCCCTTGTGGAATGAAAAGGCTTAGCTATACTGGCAAATCACTGTTTTTCAATTCATTGTGTGGCTTCCTGTCATAAGGCTGAAATCTTGAGGAGTTGCTTTACACCAGGTGAAATTTCCTGGATCTATTACTTGTTTTCAAAAACTACAAGAAGAAAAAAAAACTACAAGAAGAAGATTGCTAATGATTAAAAAGAATTCATCTTTTTTGGATCCAAAAATAATTTAAGCATTAAAAAAAGGTAAAAGGAAATATAGGTCACTAGCAATCTTTGTTCTGTCTGCTCCAAGGCTTTTTTGCCTTACCACAGAAGTTCTCAAATTTCAGCAAGCATTGTAATTACCTGAACAACTTATTAAAATAACGATTGCTGACTGGGGCCTGAGAATGTGTATTTCTAACAAGTTTCCAGATGCTACTGGTGCTTTACCAAAGTGTCCTTGGTCCCTGAGCTCAAGCAATCTGCCCTTTAATTAAAGGCAAAATGTGTATGGGAAAAGATAATGGGGCCACTTAGCTGGGCAACTAAGAACAAAAATTAAGGCTAAGAAAGAAAAGATTTTCAAATCAAAACTGCTTATGCACTTCAGGGGGCAGTTCCAGGGGGAGAGAAAAGATAGAGGAGACAGCAGGAAGCCATGTTCCAGACTGCAATGTAATCTCCTCCTAATTATAAATAATTTCCAAGTGAAAATGTCCTAGCAGGGAATGGGAGGGGTTAGAAATACTGATGCCTGGAGGAGCAGATGGCTCCATCTTCCTATCAGCCCCATAAATTATAAACAAACACCTTGTACAAAGATCGATGTGTAGCCTGTTGCTGGCTGGCCAGATGAGGGCATGGGAGCAATTAGCATTGCAGTGCTTTTGCAAATGCATTAGATACAGATCTGGAAAACCCAAAGGGGTTTAAATCAGCAGGAAAATTTCCTCTTGGCTCTGAGAGTCCCTCAGATTTCAGAATAAGACCTCTTGCACAGAACTCCAGATGACACTGTAAGCTCTCCCCACAGACACTAGTCACCATATCCTGAGCCAGTGGGTTGCCCCACATCATTCACCCTTGGGGTTTCTTAAAGTGTGTTTCCGCCAGGACAGTTTGGTGACTAATGCCACTCAGTTAAACGTTTACTCTTTAAAATCACAGTGAATATAATAAGCAATTTTACTCCCCCACTTCTACTTTTTTTTTTTAAATCTTGATGAGGGTTTCAAAATTTATACAAATAAAATTTTATTCACATACTTCTAAACTCATTATAGAGTAACTAATTAATCCTGTATCCAAAATGAAAGAAACAGGTGGTAGGAATCCTTAGTCTAACTCCATAAAGGGGTCAAATGCAATGAAGCCAAATCACATAACTGGCAGGGCAGCAGTTCCTGAACCCCTGGGTAAGGCTCAAGGTCTGTGGTTCCCAGGCAGGGGGTGCACTAAAGATAAAGACCACCTTTCTGGGGAAGTCAGGAGACTTACAGAAATAAATCCTGCATTAAAACAGGCTCTCAACTTACTTTGCAGACAACAGAACGTATAAGAACGGTGAAGATTAAAACTGGAACTAGACTTGAACCAATCAGGAAACAGCTCTTGAAGTGCT